TTCCTCATCTAGGGTCATGAACTGGTGTGTAAAATCTGGACACTCTGATGTGTAGTGGGATGTCTGTGCACAGTTTGAATACAAATATGATGTTGGGGGTCATTTTGACCCAGGCACTTTAATGTGGGCAAGCAGCTTTTCAGATCCAAAAGAAACATGTCAAATTGATGAACAGTACTTAGTTTTGACTGCTCAGTGACTGCCAGAGACCCAGGTATGTGTAGAGCAGGAACTTTCTCTCATTTGACTCGTCACTCTTCTCATGTCATTTCTTTGACCAACATACCAAAAATGAGCTCCAGAAAATTTACAGCTGAAGAAGCTTCATCACAGAGTTTGAACGGGGATAGTGATGCAGAGGAAGATATTTCAGAGACAGAGGATCTTTCTGGCAAGTATGGCATCAAAATGTGGGCAGCCTGTGATGCAAAATCTAGTTTTGCATGGAATATGCAAGTGCATACTGGAAAGCTACTTGGAGGAGCATCTGAGAAGATTCAGATGATGCGTGTGGTGCTAAAGATGAGTGAAGGATTGCAAAGTCATAACGTCTTTACAATGTATGGCCTTGGAGATGAAGTTCAGGAGAGAAAGCTGAATATATTGGCAACAGTCAGAAGAAATAAGACCCGGTGAAATTCTGAAGATGCAGGGCAGACCTCTGCATTCCTCAGTTTTTGTTTTCACTGAGAAAGCAGCAGTTGTTTCATACTGCCCAAAGAAAAACAAAAATGTTCTTGTAATGAGCACAATGCACATAGATGCATCACTGAGCATAAGAGAAGACATGAAGCCACAAATGATCCTGGACTTCAACTCCACCAAAGGGGGACTTGACAATCTGACAGCACACATACAACTGCCAGTGCATTACTTTGTAGATAAAACATTGAAAATCTCAGAAGAGTTAAATGAAAAAAAGAAACGTGACATGGAAAAACTTCAACTAAACCGTTCTTAAATATACTGTTGGGATTAAAAATCTTTTGTCTGTCTCTTTTCTGAATGTTTACATCATCTTAAACAAAGTTGTTACTGGTGTAACCTGTTTTTTGACTATTTTGTGTAGATTTTTATAGTACGGGTCAAAATGACCCACAACATAATCAACGTGATTTTTTTTCAACATAATATGAGGGTTAAAATCAATTGTCTTCATGGTTTTGTCTTTTGTTTGGTTTATAATGCCACTTGTTGGATATTTCATGTTCGTGGGACCAGTTCTCACGGGTTGCCAGGAATAAACCCTGTATCCTCAACTGAACTTTGTTCGTCATTCATGCCGCATCCCGAGGATGCTACAAATCCATTTACTGTTGGCAATTTCAAATTCAAAAGCCTGAGACAAATCAGATTTGTATCCGCCCAATGTTATCAAATTGAATCAGACAAACACAGACGAACAAAATTTAGGCTATAGATTAATAGTAGCACATTTCTTACCTTTAAGTGTTGGGGTGCATGCTTTCTGCGATATCAAGAATTAAAATCAAGAGTCGCGGCATCTTACCCACGGTCTAAACCGCATTGAATATTTAGTATTTTCTGTTGAAAACAATTGCTCAAGATCCTTTTGTGTATGCATAACGTTTCAAAACAACAGGATTATTTTGTCGTGTCAAATAGTAAACTTACCTTAAAATGAGTTCGGGAGCTTGCTGACAAATAAAATTTCCTCGTGTTAAATGAATTTGAGTACAAAAGAGTACCAACAAGAACTTTTTATTTTATTTTCACCATATTCTAATTTACTGAGGACTAAAAACGTTTTTCACCATTTTCCAAATTATTGAGAACAAAATGTACCTGGGGGGACAGTCATAATGGGACGATTAGAGTGTCACGTATAATTTAAATTGTATCACTCTAAAGTCGCTGAAACATTGTTGAAGTTTTTAAGAACAAGTTCTAACGTCCGCCCGGTTGTGTGTCACTTCAATTGTACACTCCGGTCAAGCCCGCTTCCACTTGCAAACTTGAAGTCAAGGGAGTTGCCACTGCGATTGTCAATACTGTGCATTACGGTAATCTGCCGCCAGATTAGGGACACCAGATGACGACCCACAACATTCAGATTGTCTTTCCTTCCGGCAGAAGTGTAACTGCAGAAAAATAGTCAAAGATCAGCTAGAAGTTACGAGAACTAAAAACAACTCCAAATATACAGTGTCAAATACAACGTGGATTTTCAAATACCAAATGCCATTTATATCAATGTATAAGCATGTAAGAAGTGCAGAGGCCTTAAAGAATTTGTCAGGGTTACAAGATATGGCTACCAGCAAGTCTGAATGTTTCAGCCATGAAACATGGACATAACCAGCTCTAATTCAAATTTGATGAATGTTTTCCAAAATGACAATGGATACATGTTCCAGACGTTAAGGTGAAAAAACAAAAAGAGAAAGTACTTTACTCAATTGAATCTTGAACAACCCAATTGTTCAAAATAAGCAGATAAGTACTTCTGGAGATTTGCTGACAGTATAACGTCACGGACAGATGACCGGACCAATCGACACTTCTTCCAACCAAAAGCATTGCAAGGGCAAAAAATAGAATTCATTAACTAATGTAAATGTAAATGGGGTTTTGAGAGAAAATTTGTATACCTTACTTGAAATGTGCAAAAGGTGGTGATATTTCAACATTGGGTCATACAGGTAAAAATGGTTTACTACTCCTAATGGACTGTGCGCAAGGAGAACTGTTCTTGCAGGTGCAATAGGCACAGTGAAAAAGATTCTGAGATAAACATTTCTCAATGATAACATGACTGAAACTCAAACATCTCAGTAATTAATGGGTGTTTAATTGCACATATAGCTGAAATGCAAAAGTAACAAAAAAACACTGCAGTGAATTCATAACGGTCGTTATTCAACACTGCTTCCACCTTTTGTATGGATCTTCGCTCTCAACAGCGAGAGCCCCAATAGGACGTGCACGGAAGAAGTCTGTCACTGCCCTCTGCTGGTCACAATTTGTCATTGCAACCTTCTGAAAGAATACCATAATATTTCTTTATTACACTCGAAAAATCAGCAGTAACACAAAATGGCCACCCTGTGAAGACAATTTTGTTACATTTGATTTTTTTTAAATTTCTGAACAGAAAACAGAAAAAAACAAAAAAACATTACCATCCATTCACAACGTTCGCTCGTCACCTCTCTTCCCACATTGTGTATAGCTCTTCATGGCTCTTAAATGCGAGATCCCCCTTTGGTCGTGCACGGCAAGCTGCAATAGCTGCCTTTTGTTGGTCAGAGTTAGTCACTGTAATCTTCTGAAATATTACCACATTATTTCTTAATACCAAACAAGAGAGCCCCACTTGGACGTGCAAGGCAAAAGTCGATCACTGCCATCTGCTGGTGACAGTTTGTCATTGGAACCTTCTGAAAGATGACCATATTATTTCTTATAACCCTCGAAAAATCAGCAGTAACACAGAAATACCCAGCCTGTGAAGATAATTTTGTGACATTTGATGTATTTTTTTTTTTTTATTCCACAGCGCTCACTCTTCACCTCTGTTCCCACATTGTGTATGGCTCTTCTTGGCTCTTTAATGCGGGAGCCCCCTTTGGTCGTGCACGGCAAGCTGCAATAGCTACCCTTTTTTTGTCAGAGTTAGTCACTGCCACCTTCTGAAAGAATACCATCTTATTTCTTTCTATCCGTCAGGAGAGCCCCATTTGGACGTGCAATTCAAAAGTCGATCACTACCCTCTGCTGGTCATAGTTTGTCATTGCAACCCTCTGAAAGAATGAATGAATGAATACTTTATTGTCATTGCACACTTGTTACAACGAGATTTTGCTGGAGTCTCCACCCCCAAGTGTATCGTGAAATATAAAAAAATATAAAAAAGTATGTAAATACATTGCACTCCCCTAGACTTACACACACCATAATATTTCTTATTTTCCTCGAAAAATCACCAGTGAGATAAAATGGTCACCCTGTGAAGACCATTTTGTGACATTAGATGGACTTTTTTTAATTTCTGAACACAAAAAAACCCATTGCCGTTCATTCACGACGTTCGCTCTTCACCTCTGTTCCCAGCTTGTGTTTGGCTTTTCTTCGCTCTCAAACGTGCACAGCCCTCTTAGGCCGTGCACGGCAAGCGGCCACCGCTTCCCTCTGCTGGTCAGAGTTAGTCACTGCCACCTTCTGAAAGAATACCATAGTTGCACCCTCAGGATGCGGCATGAATTACGACACGAAGTCCATTTGAAAATACAGAGTTTAATTCCTGTTAATTAAAAATTTCCTGTACATTAAAAAAAAAACATCAAAACTGCTCCAGATTACTTTTTCCTCAAGCAAATGGAAAAAATACTTACCCTTTGTGTCTCTTACTCATCTTTGCAAACAATTGCAATAAGATATCCTGTTTCCTTTGAAATGTTTTTGCACTGATCGGGTTTTGTTGAGGCAAGTCACTGCTAACTTTATCCTAGAACAGTAATGTGTGACGATCAAGGGTTCAGATTCACACCTACCTCGAATTGGGGGTGTGGCAGGGTCTCCCAAAAAGCTTTCAAATTTCAGCCCTGGTCTGTGCTCGATGATTCAGTCAACACTTGTCTCAGGGTAGACCAGTTTCATGTGACGTATGCATACATTAAGTCTGGCTGCGCGCGCATCTCTGAGGCAGAAAACACACGCTGAACAGGACAAAACCGTGTGAGTAATGGTGTCCTCATGCTGTGCCGTGGGTTGTCAGAATAGAAAGACCACACAGAGAGGTCTAGTCTTTTATAGAATTCCTGCTGGTAAACCCCACTTTCAGAAAAAAATGGAGAAAGTTATGGTTACAAGCTTTACGACGTGAGAATTGGACTGAAGAGGAACCCTCTCAGGGCAGGTGTTGCAGATTTGCAACAACCAAGTATCAGATTTGACCTGTTACGAGAACTTCATTTGAGCCTGAGAGGAATGCTTGTCTTTGCAGTGCTCACTTCATATCTGGTAACTACTTGGGAGTTAGCTCTACCATGTCAAATTATATTCTATGTTGTGAAAGCCCAGAATAATGTTCAATTAGTGAAAGTAACAAATGAGTGAAAATAATGAAGTATAGCATGAGTGAAGCAGTTGATATGTAGTCTTTACAGTCAAACATGTTTACAATTTGTGTGGGAAGTAACTCTTTAATGCTTCATGCACATGTTAAACACAAACATATACAGCCATACAAACGCCAAATGATAAAAACATGCTTCACAACACACACGTGTGTGTGTGTGTGTGTGTGTGTGTGTGTGTGTGTGTGTGTGTGTGTGTGTGTGTGTGTGTGTGTGTGTGTGTGCATATATCTTTCTCACTCCATATTTATCATTTAAATCATTAAATTAAATTTTTAAATTTTACAGGAAAAGCATCCCTGGAACATGGTAATCCAGATTTCGTTCCATTTGTATTTTCATATACAGCAGCTGTTTAACCAAGTGGACACTCAAAACTTGCAAGGTAAAACTGTAAAATCCAAAGGAATAATAGTTTGTCTTGAAAATGAATTTATTACAAGAAAAATACAGTATAGACTGATATATGAACACCAAATTGAAAAACTTCAGGCATCAATGTTACCTTTTCTTGGGTAGGTTTGATAACACTCTCATTTAGTGTGTGTCCTAACTCTGTGGCCTAGTTGGAAGTCAAAGAGGGGAGGGGCGTGGGGATAATCACTTCAATTATACAGTTTCTTATTGACGGCTTGGCAATGAAGTGACTGGTGACACTGAACAGGAAACAAGACGGTGTAATGGCTCAAAGACGGCTCGAGTGAACATAGATTTAGGATTCCCTTTGACTTAACCATTTTGAAAATATAGTTAACGGTGGGTTAAAATGATATTCTTGTGTGTGTACCATTACTCTTTGACAGCACAAAAAAAAAACAAAAAAAACTTAACTGGCATGCATCAATGGATAACACATTGCGGTAGAAGTCTATTATACACTGTCGTTTTTCCTTTTTCCCATCTGTTAATACAGTGACTGATGAGAAGACTAAAAATGTATTATTTACCGTAAGTTATCCATATACTCATAGCGCATACTTTATGACGCAAAAGCCAACAAACAACCCACATGTGACAGCCACCGTTTGTGAAACGTCTCGAGCACAAAATGTGAATCTTGCAAGCAGAAGAATCCCAAAATAAAACGACACTTAACAAATACACACACAAGGCAGGACAACTTCTCATGCGGCCATTTTTTTTTCCTCAAGAAAATTAAAATCACACCACATTTTTACAAACATGATGCAGGAAAAAGTGTCATGCGCTCATTTCTTGCTTTACCGGTTCTGGGGGCGCCTTATAGCCCCTTAACTACGTCCAGAGAAGGCAAAGAGATATTAAAGTTAACAGTGAGTAGAGCATCATGCTTTGATATTTTAAGTGCGCAACGAGGCAAATAGTAAGCAGTAAAGAAAGCATATAGTCTATGAAAAAACAGAGTACTAATAAATATCAATAATACAATATGTGATCAGTGTGTGTTGTGTACCTTCAAGGTAACACCAGTAACCATGTCAGTTTTACCTTCAAAGTTGCTTGATTTGCCAGTTTGGTTGTCTGGATGGAAAATATGAAAATGTATGAGGTACTTTCCTCCAAAACGTTGCCACTTAATGA